GGGGGAGGGGAGGGAGAAGGGGAGTTTAGAATAAATTTAATGGTGAGGGAATCGTATATGCTTTCTGGCTAAAGCAAATGAAGCTGGTTATTGCAGTTGCGTTATAAGACAACATAAGACAAATTCTAAGATAATAAACCATGACCGAATGACCTTCATTAAGAAATTGGAACAGATGATGAATATATTATGTTTTAACTTTACACCTTTTTCAAAGTAAAAATTAATGCATTATCTAAATAAACGATAATCAAAGTTGCTCATTCTCACATTCCTCAACTTTATGTCACGGATTTCTACCTAAAGAAAGTCTATTAAAATAGATTTCGTATATTAAAATTACTTATTAAGCGAATGAAATTAAAATTTTGCTCTAATGCATATGTAATCAAATGATTGGGACAAAATGAAATATATCCTCATTGGAACCCTTTAAAAATATAACGAGATAAATCAATACCAATTGAATACTAAATAAAAAATTATGCCAAAAATATTTCCTTAAATTTCGGAAATCACATTAATTCTGATGTTTTTTACTACATACTCTCTAATAATGAATTTAACGCGGATATTTCTTTGAATAAGCCGGATGCCGAGCTCTTTTTACGACAATGCTTCCAGACGAGGCATTAGAGGAATTGAGGAAGCCAGATGCCATTTTAGAAAATCCCGTTAAAATCGCTAAAGCTATTGAGGTGTAAGTTAAAATTGTAAATATATTTTACTTCATATTGTGCAAATACCTAATCTAGTTACGAGTATATACTTTTGCTTCATCACTTTCATTATAACAATAAATTATCACAAAATTTTTGTCATATTTCTTTCCCTAGTCTCTCAACTTCAAGAGATGGTGATGCTGAAGATTCTTCTGATCCATTAACCGCAGTTACAGTTTTAACAACAAGTTATCAGGGTGCGATTGAGCTTCTTTTCGAAATCGGTACGTGGCTGACATATATAGACGATAACCCTCAACAAACCCGCGATATCATTGAGTCTGTTGTAATGGAAACTATTCTGCAGAACTACGATCGCATGAAGACTCTTAAATTCTTTGATAGTGGAAATGTCTATGTAAATTATCAAATAAAATGAGGTTGTTATTTTTTTCCATATTGCAAATACAGCTTTCTCCCTTTTTATTTTAGGAGGCGGTAAAGTGGCAGAGCTTGTTGATTCAGTCTGCGCGTTGGCGTCAAACAATTTATGAGTTAGCACAACAACCTAGAAATGAGGATTGTGTTTTCCTTTCATTGGCGATGCCTCTAATTGCGGATAATTTTATTGACGAACTTGTTTCAGTGCCGATGGCTTGGGGCACTCTGGAGATCTATCTTAGCTGCGTTAATTTCACCCTTCGTCCTTTATTGGATAATTTTCCGCAAATCATGGACGACGACCTCTTTTTTCTGAGTATGGCTTTCATGAAAGTTCCATCGACCAATTCGTCCTCGTCTCAACAGCAAAGTCAACCGTCGACACAACATGGGTTTCGGGAAACGGCTCTAGGCCGCTACATTGCTGAAATGCAAGCTGATCCAGAGAGGAAAAAGGTCTATGAGCATTTGAACCACTTCTTGGTAAGCTATTTTTCATTGTAATTTTTTAGGGCTGATTTATGCTTCTATTTTCTTTGTTCGCTAGATATCGCTAGGTTACTTTTGACCTTAGATTGATAACCGAATTTCTTTTCGCCCTACACACTCAGTTTATGTTTATAAATTACGCCCAAATTTGGTTCTATAAAGGAAGCATGTTCAGAGAACATATATGTCATTGATCTTTGCGTTTCCTGAGCACGGCAAGTGATTATTTTATTTTTCTGTTATTCTGTTTACAATAGCTTGATCGTAGATGGATTTTGCTTAAATAAAGCGAAAATCATAATTGCAGATCAATGAATTCGTTTGACTGAAATACGCTTTTTTAATAGGATATGGGCTGTCATAGTGAGGCGACCTACTTGATGCTTCAATCAGTGCTACAGTGCCTCATTCGCCGACGTAACGATAATGCCGCCCGTCATCTTTCACTGCTCTTGGAAACTGAGGCATGCCGACGTGGATGCGATGTCAGCCGCTATAGTGTCTACTGCTGCTATGCTAAAAATTATCCCACGGAGGTTATGGTCATGCGCAATATTCTCGCTGAGCAAACACTCACTAACCCGGAGCTAGAAATCGTAAGCAAATGAGGCAATTCGAATAGAATTACTGTGTAAAGTGCCTAAGGTATTAGAGAAGTTCAGCATGTTTGTTGTCCTTGTAGACCTACTTATAATTTTAGTAAAAACCAATCTAATGTCTCATCGGTGCTTTAGAAATTTAATTCATTTTCCCACAGCTGAGTATTAACTAAAGACCCTTTTTTACTGAACCCTGTTTTCTTTGTCAAACAAGGTTAAATCTTCCCCATCCTTGTTTGTAACTTTCGTGAAGTATAATTCGCTACTTGAATGCTTTGCGATTTAATTTGATCATTAATTTATTGTGATAGCATTATTATCGTTTTTAGGCCACCTTTGTTTCCAGTTTCTAAATGAATTCTGTGTTTGAATATTTATCCAAAACTTTCTCCTTTTTTGGAAACGAACAATGAATTGGGGTTTGTGCAAGAGTGCATAGGTTAGCTTAGCTACCTCTTGCTTATTTGTTCATTTGATGTCCAAAAAATGTTTCACATTTTTTGATTTGAGGTTAAAGATGGTCGCAATTGGGGAGAATATGCCCCATCATTTCATTTACCCCTTCACATTCCATCCTCTTATGCCATTTTATTTCATTTTGTTCTCCCCAGAACTAAGAGGGAGAGGGAGAGTTTCCACTTTAGACGATAGATTCAGGTTGACGATCTGGTTCCTCAATAATTTAACGATCATTCAACATGCTACGGTCTTCATTGTCACAATAAATAAATGATTGTGTCGACTAAAGTTGTTGAGAAAACATGAAGCAAATTGAGAGTGGAGGTAAAACGGAGCTTGTCCCCTGGGGATGGGAGGCGGTGGGTTTGTGTTCAAATAAGTTCAAGCCCGGATGCTAATATAAGGACAGTGCAATTAAGCAGATTATAACATTAATGATGATCATTGGGAAGGAACATATGGGGCTTTACATTAGCACTCTATGGAGAGGTAATTCTAGTTGGGAACAAATTTAGTGATATGTCGTCCAAATTCTTGTCACTAGCTAGTTTCGCTTCATTTTTAGTTTGTAAGATAATAGTTGATTGTCCTTCTTTCTTGAGATCTGTATATTATCATTTTTTATTATTTTTATTTAGGTATACACAGCGTATATGGGTGATGTTCCTCCACCAGTTAGTCTCATTCGTCAGCCTCTTTTCATCGGTTAGTTCACATTTTTAGTCTCTTGACTTGTCAAGCGGACAGCGAATATCTTTATACAGTCTATTTTGATATCCATCTTACTGAGATATCTTTGATAGCTGTCGCTTATTGCATCCTTCATCTCTCTATTTTAGTGATGCTAGCAGATGCACTATTCGCTAATCCCGAGCGTTTGCTAAATGACCATCTTGAGTGCTATGCTTACCTCTATGCCTATTCGTCGGTCACTGTTGAAGAAATAGACCTTTCTACAGAGAGACGTCTTGAACTTGATCGTTCAGATGTTGCCAAAGTTAGCAGTGATATCATGGAAGCCAGTCGTATCTGCAAACATGCAAGTGTTCCTTATATTTATTTGGTCCTATTAATGAGGCAACACCCGTTAGACTAATGGACTAATAATTTGTAGTGGAACATGACTACAGGTAGTGCGGTTAGTCTCCGGGCTTTCCGTGATCTCCCAACTCTCCTCCAGCTTCTTCGCCACCGTTCAATCGCCTTTGGTGCCTTCCGATTCCTTTGGGCCATTTTTCGGTCAAAGCGGGTGGAATTTGAGCTCAATCTTGAGACTATGAAACCATATTGTATTGTGGTGAATGAATTGGCATCACTGAATCCCTATCTTCGTCCAGCTATTCTTTTCTTCGTCTCGGAACTTTTGGGCTCGCAGATGGAGGGGATGGAGGACCTCAGTCAGGTGAGTAATCTGCTCGTTACTATGTTTGTAGCTTTCAATGTCAAGTGCATCTTGACTAATTATCTTTCTGCAGCCAATAGTGTGTTATATAAATTCTTCTGCGAGTCAGAATTGATAATAATGACGATTATTTGTCTCTTTTTTGTAGCTAGAATACAAGAAAATGTTAGTGGGTTTACTAGTGCATTTGATAACTTGTGGTTACGTCTTACCGACAATAAGGAAAATGCATTTGCTCTTTGAACGAAATCGCGTTGATGTTTCAATTGTTCGGCATTTTGTTACGGAAGTGAGTAGTAGTTTTGATTTCGTGGCTGTGGTTTAATTCTTCTTTGGTTTTCATCTCTCCTGTTTTTCAATACTTTCCAGCTTCTAAGCATTGCGTCACCACCATATCATCCGGAGTTTATGAAAGCCATCCATCCCTTGGTGTCGCATCCTGATATCACAGATGGTCTGCAGACTCAATTTCACACTGAACTCGTGAAAGATTTCATGGGTAAGTGCTTCTTCCTCAGCATATTACTTGCCTAAATTTAAGCTTTTAAGTAGTATTTTTTTTGTTCATTTCAGCTCACTTTGAAAATGAGATTGGGTCTTATGAAATGAGTTGATTGGGGACTATTAGTGATTCAAGGCTTTGTGTAAAAATTTGTACATTATTTGTTATATTTTGCAATAAATGTTTATGTTCTTTTATCTTTTTAAGTTTTCCCTATGACCATTTGGCAATTATTAAGGCGGTTTGTTGACTTCCATAAAGGTTCTAAAAAGAGTATTATTACCGTGATGTGAGGAAAGACTTTTGTTTGTGAGGAGTATTTGGCTTTAATGTTACGATTACTGTGGAAATTAATGCGTGTAGTCTATTTAGGTTACCCTATCCCTTAAGTTAACGATTCCCCTATAGTCTAGTTGAGTCGTCCTACACATAGGGTCTTTATGGTTTGAGGATTTGGGAGTATTTGGTTTATTTAAAGCTCTAATAGGTTATTAGCAGGCTGCAATTCTTTCTATTTGTTCATATTTTCGCATTCTCTATTTCACAATTCAGTCTTTTATTTATCCAATTCAAGAAGATACTAGTCCTAGTTCAAAGAATATCAGAGTATGGAGTTTAGCACCGCTTCTCTCATTAAAGTAATAGTTGTTAGCTTGCATAAGTTTCGATCTTATTCTTATTTACGACAAACTAAGGGACACGAAGATGATTAGTAAATATTCGAATCAAGAAAGTCCCCACTAAATTCGGGACAGGGTAAGGTAGGACCAACATGGTACAATGGATGGAAGCTTGAACTGGGGTAGCGCCTTTCTCAGAAGTTCGCTCATATAAATGAGTCAGTATATAAGTAGTCTTCGTACGTCTAGCTTGTTGATAGTACCTGTATGTGCTGAACTTAAATGGCACTCTGTACAGGGGAATGGTTACGGACTTTGTTAGAAGTTAGTGGTTTTAATGAATAGAGAAAAAAAGAGGTAATTATTGAAATAATGACTGAATTTATAGGCACTAAAGCAACTTTCAGCAGGATATCGAGCATAATATCACGGATGTTGATCACTGTTCAGGAATAATAGAATGGCATTATCACAATTTCAAATTGCTGGCAGATTTCAGAAGGAAAAGGGAATATTGGAAGACCGCATTAGTAACACAATTGAGTAACTTGGTTTACTGATAATTTTTCAAAATCCTCAAGACGTACAAAATAAGAAACAAGATGTCTGTCCATGAATCAATCAAAGTTGCGTCATTCTGATAATGAGCCAAAAGTATGAATAAGTGGAACACTAAGAGGTTATTGGACAAATATTTGTATTGTAATATTTCGTTGCATAAATTTTTTTGAGACGAATAATTAAACATAAAAATCATTTTAAGCATAAGATAGTATACAACCTTCGACACTTTAAGTTAACTACGGTTTAAAAAGGCCTTTATTTGGAACATATACAAGAAAATGCAATCGGTATAGTCGGAACTTAAATAAATTATATTTCTTAGGAATTTTCGTCAAGAAGACAAGAGTTTAAGAAGTACCTTGATAAATCTGGAATTTTAGATGCTTTGACTAATGGTAATTTATAGTATATGTATGAAATAATAAAGTTTAAGCATTAATAAAACTATTCGAACTACCCGAAAAACCAATCAACCCCATGAGGTGAGCAAAATTAAATTAAGCAATTTTGCTAAATATCTAAATTACCTTTTAATTTTACCCGGTGATTATTTCTTATTTTCGTTTCACGATTATATTAAAATTACTAAACGAGATTCTAGTAAAGATGGTTTTGCATTTTACATGCGTAACCAACTAAATTCTTAACATTTAGTCTAGTTTTGCCTCATTTTTAGTTTCATGAAGGAATTCTTTGATGATAAACAATCATCTGATTCATTGGATCTTATAAAAGAAAACGAAGAACTAAAAGCCAATATAGAAAAGTTAGAAAAGATAATTGCTGATTTAAGAGAAAAAATCAACTTCTCGGGCGATAATACCGCTGACTCTGTAGAAAATGGAAGTCCCATTCAACAATCAGGACATTAATATAGCATTTTACCTATCCTCGAACATTTTCCTGTCATACAAACACATTTACTACTATTTTGAAATAAGTAGTATAATAACTAAATTTATTTAATTTTACGAGTTTTACTTTTTCGGATGTTCAATACCACTAAAAAATATGACCTAACCAAGTTTTTGTCCATCTTGTTTCGTCACATACTCATCGCAATTGACTCCACGTCTGTGAAAACTTCATATCGGACTTTATTTCACTACTCCAGAGGTATTAATTCATACTAAATCAGCTTTGTTCAAGCATAAATCATTATTTTTGGCATAATAACGCGGGAAAATCTTGCGAGCTTAAAATATGGGAAAGCAAATGAACATTTGAATTAACAGAAGTGATGCATAAATTAGTAGGTTATGAGCTCAAAATAGTGAGAGCATTAGAACATTCGAATATTGGAAACATTATCTAACCGTTTTGCCAAATCGAAATAAGTCGAGAGAAGTTAGCTAGTCATTAAACTTCGAAAATCACAGATGGAAATTGAATCCTTTTCAAAACTGGAGCTATATTCACATAAATGGAAATTAATTTGAATCAAATCAAATTAATGCCCTGAATTTTTATCTCCGCTTCCGTCCGATCCTCTCTCTTTCGAGAAATTTATAAGGCTAACTTTGAATATTGTAAATAATAAAGGTAATAACAATGAGCTAAGATTTTAAGGGTATCCAAACAGCCTATTATCCCAAAAAATATTTTTTATATCAAATGGCAGTCGTCTTGATGGTTATCATTAGCCCTTTAGGAGGAGAAGAAACATCAAATTGAAAAAGTCGATAGGGGGGGGGAGGAACAGAAGAGTGTTTCAAAGATGTAAGAGATAAACACAAAGGTAGAACAAAGATGAGGTGAGTACTGTGAAAGGGGTCGAATATGACATACAGTGGGGTCATGATAGCTTGAACTCAGAAGTCAACTGCCGGTTAATAGACTTTTTGCCGTATGAGTATACGTTGCCCAGGGTGCACCACGTGGAGGTAAGTCTATCGCACACCCCTCCCAAAAAATAACAAAGTGACCAGCAATGGGTACCTATTTAAATTACCGATCAGCCATTGGGATGGAATTAATTTTTCGAACACCTCAAGGTATAGGATGGATTTGATCTGAATTAACCTTGTGGCATATCGACCCNAAATGTATATAAAGGGAGCAGATTATTGGCTCCGAGGGGTGTGAGATAGACTTACCTCCACGTGGTGCACTCTGGGCAACATATACTCATACGGCAAAAAAGTCTATTAACCGGCGGTTGACTTCTGACTTCAAACTACCCCAACTGTATGCCATATTCAACCCATTTACAGTACTCATCTTACCTTTTCTCTGCTCTTTTGTCTGTCCCTGCCACATCTGTGAATCATTATTCTTTCCCCCTCTCGACTTTTTGTCACTTTGATGTTCCTCCTCCTCTCTGTGAAGCCCAAAGTCAGCTAAAGGGCTAATGATTACTATTAAAACGTCTGCCAATTGATATGAATACATTTTTATACGACCTATTATTACTGGTCACCAATTATGGTTTAATTTGTCCAATATACTGAAAGATAAACTTGTTGTAAGTAATTTCACACTGATTATTGTCTATTTATCATTGATATTAATGCATTGGAACATTGCTTAGATCAAGTGAAAGAGTTGCCGGTGAAATTTCTAATCACAGTGACTTTGTATACTCGTCGATGAACCTTGTTGATAACTAGATATATGTTCACATCATTTAAATAAGCTGCCTGTTAATATCTCAAGAATTTCTATCTTACCTCTCCTGCATCTCAAGTAGTGCCCTTTTATATCCTGCAAAATTACATAACTAAAATTGAACTAACGCCTTTGATATAACCATTGTGTTTATTCATATGCAATCTTATCGCAAATATTTGCAATGCAATTACTATAAACTCTTCCATACGCTATATCAATAAATATATATGTGCTTGAAGATTATTTTATTTTAGAAAGTGAGAACATATACGACACAAGTAAAATATTATAGCGGATTGCTATGCTAGTAAAGCCTGACCGGCCCAGAAACCTCTATGGCAGATTCTCCAACATCTAGCTAGACGCCCAGAACAAACTAAGCTATAGCCCAGCTATAAAAGGAAGAAGGCGTATTCAGTAAGCATCATGTGAGCAAAGTGTACACGCAGGGAGATTAATCATGATCAGAATGGCATGATTCGTGTGAACACTAATAGCTAAATATTTCTGGGTAATATTCTATAGCAGTATTTCAATTTGGTCATTGGTGGAATGTCCCACAATATTACTTCATTGTTTCTAAATTAGCAATTGTGGTTAATGTGTTTATGAATAGATTTATCAGCATTTCGAATGAGCTGAAGAAGTAGGATTTCGATAACGAATGGTTATGGATGTCNCACGTGGTGCACCCTGGACAACGTATACTCATATGACAAAAAGGTCTATTGATCGGCAGTTGACTTCTGACTTCAAACTACTATGGCCCGTCTATTTTTCATTTTCGACCCATTTCTCAGTACTCATCTTACCATTTTTATGCCTTTGTGTCTGTCTGTCTCTTTTACATCTGTGAATCACTCTTCTGTTCCCCCTCTCGACTTTTTGTCACTTTGATGTTCCTTCTCCTCTCTGTGAAGCCCCGAAGTCAGCTCCAGGACTAATGATAGCTGTCAAAACGCCTGCCATTTGATATAAATAAATAAATAAATAAGAATAGTGGAAAAATGTGCAATTATTAATTGCTTATGAATGAAAAATTTAAGCTTTGAAACAATTTTTCTAAGTGAAAATTTCGCAAAACCTGGATAGGAAAGTTAAAAAATGAGAGTGGTGAGTGAAATCGAAAAAAAACAGTTTTAGAACAGAACAGCATTTTTTAGCAATGCTTAAAAAGTTAAATTGAAATAAAATTGATAATTTCGTGACGCTAATTCAAGTTTGGTAAATTTCTTCAGCAAACAGTACAAATTTACAAAAAAAGCAAAATAATAAAAAATTCCATCAAGGTTAGTTTGTATCTCGGGGTGACAGAATG